TCTCAAAAATATGGCGGACTGTCATGAATAACGGACACTGATTGGTCCAATTTAAAGTTCGCATTATAACGACTGCATGACGACAGCGAAATAGCAAACATTTCTTGATTTGATGAGTTGATGATTGATAAATTTCTTGCAAATATTCTTCATTTTTGCTGGTATTTCTGCAAGATTTTGTAAATTTCAAGAAGAAAGGGCGAAAGAATCAGCTATAAAAGAAGGGAGCCGACGTTAACGAAGGTAAGTTTGTTTTAAATATTGATTTTATAATGGCTTTAAAACCCGACGGCCTTTGCGTATATGAAACAACTAAACAAGACAGCATATAATTTCAGTGTATCTTTAATACTGATTCCCTTTTTAATTATATTGAATTTTTTAAATAAAAAATAAAGCAAAGTTATTTGCAAGCGAGAATTTGAAATCATTTTATTGCAAACTCAAAGTTTATCGATAAAGCCATTTAATAGTTAAAGGCAGTTTAGTTTCATAAAGAACACTTTAAAACGTTTTGTGAGTTGTTTGTTGTTGAATTTTACCTTAAATTGAAGCTTGTATTACGTATAATTACATACCTAACATATATATGTTGGGAAATTGATAATTTTGTAATTAAAAGTGATATTTTTAGGCGATTTTCATTTGTAAGAATACTCTTAAAAAATTATCGTGTTACCATAACAACTACTTTAGATACTTCATGTTCGGAAAATACAACGGTTTTGTCAGCAAGGCGAGGGTTTTTGCATGCATGTATTTTCTAGTCGCATATTAAATCAGTAAGCAGATTTGATATCATGCACAGTTCAAGAACAGATCGAACAAAGTGTTGGATCATATCAGAGTATTGACATGAGTATGCAAGACGATTTAAGAGACTGTACAGTCTTTCGAGTCCAGAACAGGTTGTTCTTTGTAGGCACTTAATTATATCGGGAATTTGAAAGACTTGCTGGACAAAAATGAGGTCGTGTTTTTGTACTCGAAATTCTGCCAAACATTCGGCTCCGTTCATTTTGTCAAGGCAAAAAGGCGAAAAATTACTGTATGGGAATTCAAGATTACTTTAAAATAAACTCTTCCTCTGTCGAAACACCTTCCTCAAAAAGAACACGAAAACCTCTCTGATGTCTCGAAATGAAGACATAATATCAGCCGTCGGTGACGGGTTAGCTTTTGCTTAATGTTTTGAAAGGTTTTGCCAGGTTTCCTCGTGCTGTCACGTTGCCGTTGGCTCAAACAACGTCGATGCTTAAGTTCCTTAATATTTCATTGAGAGATGAGATTACATGGGCGGATCTATAACCTTTTCTCCATGGGATGCTACATGAGAGAGCCTTACCTCCCATTCTCTTCTGCAGTCTGCAAAGCTACTATCCCAACATTACCGTCACCAGGATGTTCCCATGTCTATATGTTAGGTATGATGTTTGTGATGTTACTCCGAGTGTATACCCACAACGGGCGAGCTTGAAATAATGCCCGACCACGGTGGGAATCGAACCTACGACCTTTGAAATACTAGCCCAATTCGATTCCCACCGTGGCCGGGCATATTTTTCAAGCTCGCCCAGTGTGGATATACACTCGGAGTAACATCACAAACATCATATTCACCTGAGTACACAACACCAACACAGAAAAAAAATGTTAGGTATGTATACTTTTTATATTATACCTACAGTTATTTCAATTAAGGTTGTCCCCGTGCAAAGCGAAAAAGTCGAATGCGAGCGCGAAAGGCTTTCTGAGAAGGGCCAAAAATTCATAATTTTTTAGCGTTTCCCAGCAATCCTTTCGCGCTGGTATTCGACTTTTCCGCTTTGCTCGAAGACACCCTTTATTGAAATAGCTGTATATACATATATGTAGTGACATAGTGCTATTTTCAAGGAAGAAAAATATCTAGTTGGTTGAAGAGGGGTTAATAGCTCTATGTTTTGGATAACCCTCTCCAATCCGGACCTCGACGTGTAGTAGTTTTACCTATTATTTATATCAATTACAATTTATCAACGCCGCGCCACATGTTTGGCAATTGCATTATAATATTACGTAATCCACTGTTTACCAATTCCGCCCAATATAACGTATTTTCGCAATTTGCGGGCACAAGCACAGTCATGACTAAAGGATCTGCAAAAATTGATTAGCTAAACTTGAATAAGAATTATAGAAATTGTTGTAATTTTGAGAAGAACACGGAAAACATAATAGTAGTCAAAAAGCATGCCGCTCCCCGACGGGGAATTGAATCTGGATCTCCCGTGTGACAGTCGGGGATATGCTCACCACTAATGATACCGCTGAGTTCGGTTTTAATACTTTAATTAGAACAGGTGTACCCTGGAACCGGAGGGTATTTATTTTCGCCTGTTTTGAATAACCCTCTGGTGAAATTGGCGTAGTTTTTGGGTTCACATTCCACACATAACTTTCAAAAATGGAAGCAAAGAGTTGATTGGCTGCTGACTATAGGTTCGATAGACTACGTGTTCTGTTTGGATATTGTAAACATCAGCCTGTTCCCAGGCGTTTCTGTTTTGATTGAATTGAAACATTTGAATTTTGAAATGTCTATATTATTCACAGGGCATTTTTTAAGAATTTGTCAGTGGGGGGGCCATCTACAAAAAGGGACCATACTATACCGAGTGTGGAGCAATGATAGATGGTTTGTTGGTAACAAAAGGTTTGGTGTGGTATCGCATTTAATAGTAGGGGGGGGGAGAGCAGGGCCTTAGATAGATAGATAGATAGATAGTTTAATGATCCCAAAATTTACAGCCAAAATTGAGCTGAATTAGATTAGGAATTTACAATAACATCAAAAATACAATTAAAAGATCTAAGTACGACTAAACTATGTACAATTACTATAAAAAAAACTGTTCTGAAGTCTGTTAGTTTTACAGACAGGAACTTGAAAGTTACGAGTATTCCTAAGCTTAAAATTACATTTATTTAACTTCGGTAAAAATCGATATAGTTTATGTTCTGAATTATTACTAATTTCCTGAAAAAGGTTAGTTGTTTGAGTCTGTCTACGAATATACACTGTCTCTAATTTAGCGAGTTCTAATGCTTCAAAATATGAAACAAATGGGAAAATAATTCTCATGGCACGCTTCTGTAGGGCTTCAAGTTCATCAGACAAATATTTGGGCAGTGAATTATGGTAGACAGGGCAGGCGTATTCCATGGCGGGCCGAATGCATGTGATGTAAAAGATTACCGGATCCTTATTTGCGACTCTTGCTCTCTTCAATTGTCTGAGGAAGTAGAGTCTTTTGGACACTTTCCGCGATATTTCCGATATATGGTGGTTCCATTTCAGGTCACTCGTAATGTTCAATCCAAGTAGCTTGACACGTGAAACTTGCTCGATAGCTTTTCCGTTAACGATGATTGGGTTGAAATCTGCAGGCGACTTTGCAAACGATATTCGCATTTCTTTACACTTTTTTTCATTTAATTGGAATTTATTCTCACCCGATTTTGTTATAAGCTCATTAACATCGTCTTGGATTCTACTTGCCTGGTTCTTTGCAACATTTTCCGCGATTGTAGTATCATCTACATATTTCCATAGATCTGTGTTGGTGACATCGATATCATCGACCATTAAGGCGAAAAGCCACGGGCCCAGCTTGGTCCCTTGGGGTACCCCTGCTGGTATATCACCCCATTCAGATTTACAGTCCTGACCAAGTTTAACCCTTTGCTTGCGATTCTTAAGATAGTCTAATATCCAGCTCAAGATAGAATCCAGCTCAAGATAGGAAGCTCTTTTCATTTGCTGAGTGAGTACTTAAAGGCCCGAGGAAATTTTTAAATTTAGAGTCTCTGAAATGCCATTTCCTGGATTTTGGGGAAGATTTGACAGATTTCTGATTGTCAGAATACAGCGTTTTTAGTATGTGGAAATTTAGAATTCAGTAGTACTAAATGGACGAAGGTGTATTTAATTAACAATATATTAGATAAGTTGCAGGAAAGTATGGGTAATATCTTCATTCTTTGCAGTTTGTCATGGATTAAATAATAAAGGTCTGCATGATTTTAAAAAATGAATGATTATCAGCAAATTATTGGGCCGGGGGGCTGCAGCCCCCCACCCCGGGCGCGGTTGCTACGGCCCTGGAGAGGGTCTGGGGTTTTCTCCCCCAGAAAATTTTTGTATTTTTCTACCCCTATGACTGCAATTCCCTGCATTTTCTGAAACAGATTTTTGGATATACAGCATTACATTATGCTGTAGATAGACTGAACCTGCAGTTAAGTACTTGCATAGTATGTTTATGTAGATACCACAACTTGGCAGTCACTTAGGGAGCCAGCTTGATAAACTTAGAGTTCCCGACTCCCACGAAGCGCCACCATGGATGGCACAGAGTGGAAAAATTTTGAAAATTTTGCGTCTCTAAATCATCGGAAATGGCATTTTCAAAGTCTTCTATACGTCTTTTGTTTGGCCCTTTCATTAATTCGTTCATTATGATTTGTGAGTCTATGATCGATATCCGCGAGTCAGGATGGATTATTACGAGAAATGTTATCAAAATATCGATTACAGATATTTGATTATATGTATGATTTCAAATACTTCTAGTTTCGAAATCAAATTGTTTTTTTTTGGTGGGGGCCAAAATTATCCGCCCCCCCCTTATAAAACACATGGTTGAGGGCCTGTTGCCCCTTGCGGTCACTAACTTGTCCAACAACTCAAACTCTATAGGGTCTGGGAAATGCAATCCACTGCCTGGGAAATGTTTAAAATCTAATAGTTAAGGTATTTATTAAACATAAAAGACAGGACATAAGATTCACAAAGCAAATTTCAGTTACTAGAATATCAAACCTCCCTTCTAAACTCAATGTTTTGCTTATATTTTAGAGAAAAGGGACTTTGACTGGGGGGGCCAAAATGGTTGAGTGGGGGGCCACCATGGGGGCTGGGGGGGCTTTGGCCCCCCCAGTTATATAGTTAAAAAATGCCCTGAGATGCTCTAACCAAAATACCAGGCAGAAGTTATGGCTTCTATTCTAATTTCAAGCCAACTTAATTTATTGCATGACTTTGACATACAAAAGTTCTACAACTGGATCAATGATCATAAAGGATACATGATTTTGCATAGAAAGGCAAGATAGAGAATATATTTCTGTCATTAATCAACTTTAAATGTTGCAGTAAAGTTACAACAACACTCAGTAAGGACATGCTAAATTCAGGTTTAGCATGTCTGCCATTTCTGGCCAGCCTTTCGTATAATGATCACTTTTTGACATCATTAATATATCAACACCTTTTGACCATAATAGAGCCTTCCAGGTTAAGGATGCCATCTTAAATTTTACCCCTTGCAAAGTTACCTGTAGGAAATTCCTATTATTGTGTTTCATTATGGCATCATTAACCTATTTAGACATGATGTTTTACAAATAGCACATGTTTATTAATATTAACACCTTCATGGGTAATTGTCTGGTGTTAACAAAGTAAAATGGTCAATTAGGGTGTGTGCATCTGCATTTGATTTGTGTGTTAACAATCAAATACTGTGTACACAATAATACATTTAGGTCATGCCTGACATAATCAACATGATACACCTTTTATTGTACGATCACCCAGATTAAATTTTGTTATTGTTTCCTGGTAACCATTATCAAAGTTACAAATTTACAGTTATATTACTTTAGATAGCCGAAATGTCAGAAACAATGAAAAAAATTTTAATCTGTATGATCATACAATAAATTAATGGAAGAACCCGAATTCAAGCCCTTCAATGATACAATGTGTAAATGCCTGTTAGAAACCAATACATAGTTACGGAAATCACTGAGTATTTTTATAAAATACAAAAGAACAGTAACTCTGAATAACATTTTGTAGCTTTAATGAATCTACGTTTCGAGTAACTAAAATATAGTCGAAACGTAGATTCATTAAAGCTACAAAATGTTATTCGGAATTACTGTTCTTTTGTATTTTATAAAAACCAATACAGCTTCTCAATAATTGCATCAAACACTTTTTTGGCCTAGAGGCCTCATGATTAGTGAGCTGATTGCCTTACATCTTTATTAATCAGATTGAGGCTTCCAGGCCAAAAAAAGCATTTATGACTTGATTATTGAAAGGGTGTATTACCTGCCAACTGTGTTTTTATTCATTGTCTGTCATTGCAAAATTCTCAAAAAACCCACTATTATCGATAGGTGCATTCGACTCCATTGAACTGTCAGTTTCACAATATCCCCAATCTTGGCTGTCCATCATACTCTGAAAACTAGGGTCGTCTCTCACTTCTTCCCATTCCATTTCAAAATCCATTTCATCCTCTATAAATGTGGAAAGACCAGTGTCAACTTCAATATCACCAAAAACTTGGGCAATGACAGATAAAACACCAACTGCATGCTGGTTTCTCCAGATCTCCACATTTGTCACTACATCTTCAAGTGTAAAAAGTTTATGACATGATTGAAGAACTTGCTTGATTTGAAACCCACCAAATTCCAAAAAGACATTTGGAACACCAACAGTTGCAGTCATATTGTGGATCTCACTCTCAATCAATTCTTTCTTATATGACATCAAAAGGGCTTTCAATTTACTCTTCTGTTCGGATGTTACAGATCTTGTAAAAGCAGAATCACATGAAGTATCCGAGACAACTTCCTCTTCATCATGGCTAATTTTTGGCACCTTACTGCATTCATTGCTCCCACACACACATATTTCAGCACAAAAATCACAGCATTCATGCAGAATGTCAAATTGAGCACACTTAACACCAAAGTCTGAAAATATTGTCTGCCTCAAGCATATGGGGTTTTCATTCATGATGAATCTCTTCATTTGGGTTGTGCAATGGCTGGATAACAAACCATTGTACATAATTATACAACTGCTTGGCTTGCCATCCCGGCCTGCACGCCCACTCTCTTGGACGTAGCTTTCCAAGTTCTTTGACGGCCCGAAGTGTATCACACGTCGAACACTTTTACAATCAACACCCATGCCAAATGCAATGGTTGAAATTAGTACACGAATATGTCCAGTTTCTTTGCTTAGATTTTCAATCACATGCTTTTTCACTTGGTCAGGTGTACCAGCATGGTACATTTCAACGACTCTGTTCTGGGGTCTGTTAATACCATTGTATAGGTTGTTCCGCAGATGAATTTCAAATAATCGAAATATTAATCCACAATGCTTTCGGGTTTGGCAATAGATGATTGTCCGTTCAGTAGTAGCTCCTTTCTGAAAAACTTCATCGATTATTCCTCGAAAAACCATCTCAAGTGGCATATTGTTATCAATGTACTGTAAACTGTATCGTAAATTATTACGGTTCGGACTTCTTTTCACAGTATACACTTTCTTCACTGGTATATGCAGACTATCAAGAATGCAATCTGTTGTCGACTGTGTGGCGGTGGCTGTAAGAATGAGAAAGTTTACATTTGATGGAACCAGAGACACCAATTCACTGAGGTTACCATACCATTTTCTGAATGGAATGCTTTCTTTTCTTCGCCCATATGATGACATTCCCCTGAATAGTTGAGAAAACAACTTAACAATATTTGTGAAAAGTATTAACAAAATTACACCAATCAGGCAATCACTAGTATATATCATTGTATGCTTTGTCAACCTTCAGAAATTAATATGTTAAATTTGAGATTTCATTAAGAGGTACAGGCTAAGTTTTACTTACCACTGGCTGATACAATGGGCTTCGTCAATTGCCACTCCGGATAGATTTTCCAAAAATAGTTTGGAAGCAAATATACATCTCCACTTGGTTGTTGCCAGAATACACTCTGGTGAAGCATAAACGTGTGAATATTTGCCTTGTATCACATCTTGCATTGCATGATCGTTGGCTTCATCAGTGATACAAACAGCCGCTATACCCAAACTGTTTAGGTAGGCTACTTGCTCCTCCATTAACGACTTTAAAGGCGAAATGATAACGATCATACTTGTACCTTTCGGTCGCCGATTTAGGGAGTCAAACATAATTGGCACGGCTTGGTACACCAGGGACTTTCCGAAGGCTGTCGGTAGGTTTACATACACATGGTGGCCCTTAAAGTAGTTTTCCAAAGCCTCCTTTTGTTCAGGGTATAGCTCTTTGAAATTAAATGTCGAACAAACACTTTTAAGAGCGTCATTCCAACGATCGATTGGAAAAGAAAGCTTGTCACTAGACGCCGCCATGTTGTATATTGAATAATATAATCATAGCATACATTATAAAATTAATTCAGAATTTAAACCAATCATGACGCGGCTTAGGTAGAATTGGCTATCAAACCAATCAACATGAGTTACTTATTTTCATGTAAGTGCATACGTCACGGCACACGATTAGCTACGCAGTTTAGCAGACCCAAATTTCCGGTTTTCCTTTTAACGAAATTTCGGGCTGTGAGCAGGCTATTTACTTTACTGCTTACTTGTTTGTTCGAGGATCTGACACGAGGCGCAAAGGAGATTAGGAATCCCGCCAAAACTTGGCTTATAAATTAAATTAATAAATTATTAATTATTAATTACAGTAATAATTCCGTATTTTAAAGATTCCGGTTTTTCTCATTCCGGGTTTTAAAGATTCCGGCTTTTCTCATTCCGGGTTTTAAAGATTCCGGCTTTTCTCATTCCGGGTTTTAAAGATTCCGGCTTTCTCATTCCGGGTTTTAAAGATTCCGGCTTTTCTCATTCCGGGTTTTAAAGATTCCGGCTTTTCTCGTTCGGTTCCGTTCGGTTCCTCGATTCCTTTCCGTTCCGTTCCTCGATTCCCCGTTCCTGGTTTTAAAGATAGCCTTAAACAAATATTAGAAATTATAAGACTACAGACAGACATATTAAATATACATTCAGTAACAACTCGCAAATTGCTATAAATAGCAACGTTGTAGTCTAGTAATATAATATGATGATTTGTTGTGCTTTTGTTGTAAGTAGGCCTATCACTAGAATATCTTGAAATTAAAATCCTTCTAAACGCTTCTTTATAAAGTATACAAAGCATATACATTGGATATCGAAACACAAAATGCAAAGTTTTGAACAATTTGAGCTTCGTGACTTTGTCTACGTATAGGCCTAATGTTACATGATCCCACTGGAAATCACCAAAATGAGCTTTTTTAAAGTCACTTGCAAGGCTCGAAGGCAATAACCCAAGCTAGTTTTTATACAAACATGTACTCATGCTATACCATTCCGTGGGTGAAATATAAACAAATTCACGATTATCCCACATAGTAAATTTCCCCTTCAAATCCAGCCACAAAATGCAATTCTAAAATTTGACTAAAAATAGTCAATTTCAACGACGTCTGTCAGGCCAGTTAAAGCCGTCTGGACCATTCTATATTGATAACAGTGTTCTTTAATACTTGAATTATAGTCATTAAACTATCAGAACTATCTACGGACAGTTTTGAATCTTTCGCGAAGTGATGAATTTGACCATGGCAACGGCGTTGTCTGCGGCTAATTATAGCCTTCCGAAGACAAATTCTTGATTTCTGATATTTGTACGTTTATCGACCAAATATACAAATATAGAAAATCTAACCAAAACACCATTTATAACTAGGTATTACCTAAATTTAAGCAAAATATTAAAGAAATCTATTTCTCGTGTATTACCGCAGAATTCAAATTTTGCTCGATTTTTACTGACAGTCGCCCTTAAACACCCAAAAGACATAAAAGTATGCGCATAAATTAAAGGAATTATCATTCTTGTGTTCGCATTTAGGACTATTATCGCGAACTGTTTTATTGTCTGATATATATATATATATATATATATATATATATATATATATATATATATATATATATATATATATATATATATATATATATATATATATATATATGCACACTGTATGTTCTTGTGTTGAAACAAATCAATCTGCGTTATCATTTGAACATTCGTGCAAATCAATCAATCTAAACCAGAAAAAATCCGACATTTGTCGAATTCGTGAATGATAATTTGAATCAACAATATCTCACTATATTTCTTAACAGCCGCTTTAGTCCATAAGGGATTATTACATATTTCAAATTATCAATCTACTTCAAAAAATAAGAAAATGCTTCAAAAGATCGGAGCTACGAAATAGACTTCTGTACTCCACCAAGTCTGTACTTCACATCCACCAAGTCTGTACTCCACTGTCTGTATTCCACCTCCATATATGGCATGCAGGATTTTAAATTCCAATATGAGTAGCATACCTATCAATGTTTGATGAACTCCAGAAACCAGCTCTACACTAAGCAAGCCGCGCACAAGAACAACAAAATCCACTGACTAGAAATTATGGACATTTCGTCCCCACGTTTTACCGTTGAATATTGCCCGTCCCAAGCATGGCGACTTTCCTTCAAAAATATTGTGTGTACGGTTGTCATGCCTCTTGAATTTATCAATCACGTTTTTAGTTTGTTTTATAGGACAACTAGGATGCGGAACAGTCTATCTGACGAACTGAAACTTTCCATGGTCAATTGAAACACATTTAGATTTACACATGGTATGACCTGCATGCATAGATATCCTTTAATTTGTTTGAGATATTATAATAGCTTGGTTGAGCCAAGCGTGAGAAAAATTGGGCGGTCTAAGAATGTACAGCCTACAGTAATATTTGAGGGGGTGCAATAACTTCATTAGTGGGCATAGAACGCTATGTGCGTGGAATAATAAAACGTTTTTGTTATTAAGATAGTAGACATAAGATGGATCTACATAATTATGTTGTAATAGAACTACAATTGCGAACAGACGAGCAGCGAAATAATTTTGTTTCATTTCGAAAAATTAAAAATGTATTCTAGTTTTAAATGAACAAGTTGCATACCTGTACCTATCAAAGTTTGTTAAAATTTAAAATTTAGGTGTTGAACATGGTTAGTATCTCACGAGTGAGCGCAATGAACGAGTGAGATATCATGTTCAACACGAGAAATAAATCTGGTATTTCCAAGCTCCCATGTATTTTTCTGTTTATTATATAAACAAAATTCAGTGAAAAACAATAAAACGTCCGTGGCAACGCGTTTTACAAGAAATGATAATTCCACACGTAAAAATATCGTATTTTTACGTGTGTTAAAGGCCCTGTCACACTATTGCGTATGAGAGAAACGTATGAGAAGCGTATGAAAATCAATGAAATAATTTTCATACGCACAAAAATCCTTTGAAATCGCAGCGTATGAGTACCGTACATCTGGCGTACCTCTAGCGTATTCAGCGTGTGCCTAGAGTATGCTTATCGTATGAAGCACACGTCCGATACGCACAACATTTTTGAACATGCTTAAAAAAAATGTTCTGCCTTGGCGTATGCCAGCGTATGCCACTGTATGCGACCGTGCTTGAAACGTATACAACCTATACCTAACGTACCCCTATAGCGTATGTCAGCGTATCCTGGCGTTCGAGTGATATTTTTCATACGCTGACATACGCTAGTACGATACGCAATAGTGTGACAGTGCCTTAAAATACGATTTTTCTCTGCGGCCAAAAATTCTATATAACACTTATGTTTATATAATAAATATAAATAGTTGTCGAATAAAGTTCGATATTTTGAATACCGAAATGTAAAGAAAGGTTTTGTTCATATACGGTCTCCACCCTACCTGTAAGGAAATATTACGAAAAGGAAACAAAATTCATTACCAGAAATTAAGGACATTAAACGTGAACATTTTCTACCAACGTTTCAGGATTAGTGAAGGGTGCCTGTTATTTGATAAGTTCCTTGAATGCATGGCCAGTCCACTTTGCTCATGTGTCGCTTGTGTGTAGCACAAATTCAGGCATGAAAACCCTACACGCAATATTTTTGAAGGAAAGTCGTCATGCTTGGGACGGGCAATATTCAACGGTAAAACGTGGGAGCAAAATGTCCATACTTTCTAGTCAGTGGATGATATCGTTGTTTTTGTGCGCCGTTTGCTTAATGTACAGCTGGTGTCTGGATTTCATCAAACATTGATAGGTATGCTACTCGTCGAATTGGAATGTGAAATCCTGCATGCCATATATATTACTAAATAAAGAAGGCATTGAGTTTCTGCCCGTCTTTATGCAGTTTCTTTTCGATTTATTGCAAACGAGTACTTTTACATTTTAACTTAACAAAAGTAGTCTTTCTCTATCTTCTTTAGAATGTATTTAAAAATACATTTAACATACTGTATTTCCTGCTTGTGTTCATCTAATTATTATGCAGATTTTTGAAGGACTTCACAGAAGAACAGATGTGTCCAAAAATAAAACATTTTTGTTATTAAGTAAATGCACAGAAGCTGATGCAATAGTTGCATATGTTGAAATAGAATGAAAATTGCGAAAAAAGGCGGGTAGAAAAGAAGTTAAAATTCACTATTATTATTATTGTAAAGTGGCAATGCATCTCAGATCGAAATTCAATAGGTAGTTTCATATGTATCACACGTTTGACAAAATCCAGACACCTGCGCAATTTGAGCTGCAAAACCAACACACGTCAATCACATTTTTAGGTAGGACCGCTAGGGTGCGGAATAGCCTACTAGACGAACTGAAACTTTCCATGGTCAATTTGAAGACATTTAGATTTACACATAATATGACCTGCATAGATATCTTTTAATTTGTTTGAGATATTATAATAGCTTGCTTGAGCCAAACGTGAGAAAGAATGGGCGGTCTAAGAATGTCGAGCAGACAGTAATATTTGAGGGGGTGTAATTAGTGGGCATAGAACGCTATGTGCGTAGAATAATAAAACGTTTTTGTTATTAAGATTGTAGTCATAAGATGAATCTACATAATTATATGTTGTTGTAGAACTAAAATTGCGAACAGACGAATAGCGAAGTTCTTTTCTTTAATTTCGAAAAATTGAAAATGTATTTTAGTTTTAAATTAACGAGTTGCATACCTATCAAAGTTTGTTAAAATTTAAACGCCCCCTCCCACCACCCCAACATTAAAGATAGGGTATAGTCCGAACTCCGTTTGCGCACATAAGATTCTCCTACCGTGAAATAAACACTTTGATTAGGTTTTTATTTCACTTTTTGTTCTTACATATAGTCTTTATGTTGCATCTTGATAATTTATTATACTATAGGAGAATGAAAATATAAATAGTTGTCGAATAAAGTTCAATATTTTGAATGCCGAAATGTAAACA